CATGGAGTTCCCGTGGAGATCGTGTCTGATCGTGACGCGAAGTTCACTTGTCAGTTTTGGAAGACCCTGCACCGAGCCATGGGGACGAGACTGGAGTTCAGTACAGCTTTTCATCCCCAGACAGATGGCCAGTCGGAGCGGACGATCCAGTACTTGGAGGACATATTGAGGGCTGTGGTCTTGGACCGTAGCCTAACCTGGGAGAGTGCCTTGCCTTTGGTCGAGCTGACTTACAACAATAGCTACCACTCCACGATCAAGATGGTCCCGTTCGAGGCATTGTATGGACGTAAGGTCCGAACACCTTTGTACTGGGATGAGATCGGGGAGAGGACGATCATGGGTCCGGAGTTCATTCATAGAGCTGCGGAGACAGTTGAGGCTATCCGGAAGCATATCCGGTTAGCCCAAGAGAGGCAGAAAGTCTATGCCGACCGGAAGAGGGATGAGCACGAGTATGCCGTCGGAGATCATGTCTTCCTGAAGGTCTCGCCCATGAAGGGTGTGATCCGCTTCGGGAAGAAGGGGAAGCTCAAACCGCGTTATATTGGGCCATTCGAGATCCTTGCCCGAGTCGGGAACTTGGCTTATCGGCTGGCTTTACCACCTAGCTTGTCGGGAGTGCACGACGTGTTTCATGTCTCCATGTTGTGGAGATACGTGCATAATCCCGATCACGTAGTGGACTTCGGTGAACTGCAGGTCGAGCGAGACCTTACCTACGAGGAGGTACCGGTAGCCATTTTGGACCAGAAGGTCCATCAGTTGAGGAACCGGGCAGTGAGCTTGGTGAAGGTGCTTTGGAGCCGACATGACGAGACAGAGGCGACTTGGGAGAAGGAGGCCGAACTTTGGAGGCGATATCCGAACTTTGAGTTCTGATTCCGTTTGTATTTTTATCGCTATTTAGTTTATTTTCGAATTCCGAGGACGGAATTCTTTGTAAGGTGGATAGACTGTAATACCCCGTTTTATTGTGGATTATTTGGGAATAATTATTGATTATTGCTATTATTAAATTGTCTTTATTCTTATTATTATTATTATAATTGCTATTAATTGTCAAATTGTAATTATTTGTCTATATGCATATTTTTTTTTTATTACTATTAATATTATGTTAAAATATTGTGTGTATTATAAATAAAGATAATCCGGTTTAATTTATTACGCACA